ACAGTAGTTGTCATTGGAGGGGCAATAACATTGATCAAGGGACCTCAATTAATTTTCATGAAATCTTTAAAAAACTCCATGAGGTCACTGAGAAAACAAATGTAATATTGACAATTCTGCCACTCAAACATGACACCACGAAACACAACACTCAAATCAACCAAACAAACAAGGAAATTATGATCATTGCTAAAAACACACGAATGCAGACCTAGGATCCTTGAACAGAACAGATTTTACTCGCCATGGTTTGCATTTTTCCATAAAAAGGGAAACGCAAATTTTCTGCACTCCTCACATCCCTCATCTCTTCTCCTACCACGACACAAACATACAAATCTGTCATCTCCATCACTCTCACCCCTTCACCCCCACCTAAACCTCGTTCCCCCCTTTTAGTCACATTTCATTAACCCTGCCAGTCATACCATCCCTTACTTCCACAGGAGATTCCACACCTCGCCAACCTTCCCAAATCTTTGCTTCCATAGTAGCTTCTACACCATAACCACAACAACCACATACTACTTCTTACAACTTCAGGCAACCATTCAAGAAGAAGACACCCCTTGACTTTTAGCAATTAAGACAACACACCTGTGATAGACATTTTAAAAAATTTCGTGTCCTCAATGTACTTCATCAAAATTTTCAATACACCCACAATAAAATTTAACGTCTTGAGGCAATGCTAGAAGAAACTTTTATATATGTAGGAGTCATTACTGAACATGGTCTTAATGAAATTTATTCGATTAACTTCTCCAACTAGAAACTTCATGCATGCTTCTGAAGAGACTTCAATAAAAGTGGTTGTGCAGAATAATTTAGTTTGTAAATAATCAGACTGAATTCGAGAAATGAGAATCGAAGTAACTTTTGAAGTAGCAGGTGTAGATGTAAACTCACTGAAAGAGAACATAAAAACCATAGACATTTATAGATCCCCAATTCAGATTCCCTTCCAGCTCCACCATAGGCCACATAATTACGAACATTGAAATGAATAAATACTCTTTTCATAATATTCATTTTAACCTATCTGATCACACTGCACAAATTATTGAAATAATCAATTGCCCTGTTAGCCTTGAACTAACTAAATACACATTCACTCAAGACACAAGTGATACTAAACTACTGGAATGGACTGGAGTACTCAATAGTAATGATATCATTGAGAAATGGAACTTGGTCTTGAGTACATTGAATAATCATTTGAACATTGCATGTCACATTATTAGAAGGGAAATTAGTGTAGTGAAGAAATCCAAAACTAAGCTACCTTATGAAATTCGTGTTCTCAGAAATAAAATGAAAAACATGTATGACCTGTTCAGAGATACTAAGAACCTCTTTTATAATGAGAATTATTAACAATATAAAAACAATATAGGCTAAAACTTATGAATGAGAAAGCTTGTTAATTAAATGACAAAGTTAACAACTCAACAAACATCTAAAACATTGTGGAATAGAATCAACATTGGCAAAAATCAGACTCACAAAAACATAAACCGACTACATAAAGACATGTTTATTGATAATCCTTCTGATATTTGAAGGACCTGTCACTGTCATTTCTTAAATTCAAAGTAGGACACGGTAACCAGTTATATTATCCTCTGAAACTTCAAAATCTATGTTTCTGCATCACACAAATGCTTCTGAAGTTCATCAACTGATAAATTCCTTCAAAAATAAATGATACTCGGAGAATGATGAAATATCTTCTATAATTCTTAAAAAATGTAAGCCTGCTCTTCTCAATATATTGGTTTACTTAATTACTTACAGTATTCACTTTCCAAGAATCCCTAAAAATTAGTATTGTTAGACCACTTGTAAAGAATAATAATACACATGATACACAAGGAATTAGCGACTCATAACCCTAACTTCAGTATTTGGTAAACAATGAAAAAGTTACATTAGCAAGACCTAATTGTTTTCTTGAATCTATAGCCTTAACAAATCACAATGTGGCTTCAGGAAGGGCTTCTCCACTACCACTGCTGTTGTGGAATTCATACATGAAATCATTGAAAATTTGAAATAACATGAAATCATTGGAAAATAGGAAAACAGTAGGTATATTCATTGATCTTTCAAAGGCATTTGACAGTGTATCTCATAAAAAGCTGCTGGCCAAACTAGATTATTATGGAGAAAGGTGTGGAGTTATGACCTCATTAGATCATACCTTACAGGACATAAGCAATGTGCAGAGATCTTCTGGTAATCTGAAAATTTCTTATCTAAAGTTAAATGATATTTTGATTCAATTGCTACAGGTGTTTCGTAAGGATCTGAGTTAGGACCTTTGCTATTTCTAATATATGTTAATGATATTCCAAGTTCATCTGTTTTCACTGTAATTTCTTATGGAGATGATAGAACATCAATAAGCAGTGGGCAAAATCTTTGTCATCTAGAAAATAATCTACTGAATCATTCAAATCAGTTAAAAGTTTATAGTCTATAAATTGCTTTAAATTCTCTGTAATTAAAAACTATGTACTGCTACAGGTGACCATTCTGTATGAAACTTTCAGTTCAAAAGTCAATGTACTAATTAGTAATGAAGTAAAAAATGTAATATAATGTAAGGATATTACAAGCACTTACAATAATTATTAACATCTAAGTTATTCAGGTCTTTGAAGTAAATTGTAAGTTAGTACTTGCTATTGTGTCATAATCAGCTAATGTTATGTATTAATGTATTTTAATGGTCTTTTAATGTAATGTAGACTTAATATTATTTTAAATTTGGTAACAAGACTTTGTGTAGTTCAAAAATGGAAAATATTTTAATGTTTATTATGACTATTTGAAAGATTTATTAATCATGTAATTTATAAAGTAAACTTTTAACCATTATTGTATGTTTTGTAATTAAATTGTAAATTTTGTAATTAACTAAACCGACTTTGCTTGACACTTTCTGTAAGTCTATAAGTTATAAATATTATTATTATTATTATTATTATTATTATTATTATTATTATTATTATTATTATTTTTGTTGTTGTTGTTGTTGTTGTTGTTGTTACAAACGATTAAAAGGAGATGTGAACTTCCCCTTGACCGAAGGGATAAAAGTCAACCACTGGCTACGTTAAAAAAAAGGGGGGGGGGGATTATACCAAGCTCTAAATGCTCCCAAAAGAGCTTGTAAACACGTTACGAAGGCGCAATTTTTTTTTTAAACCCTTTCATCCTAATCATCGTTATTACTAGTTTAAATGATAGTGTTCATGTTTGCTTTTCAAACACACTAGTCGCTTTGAAAGAAACAATTGTGGATGTTACGATTGTTATAAGAAAGTGGCTTCGTCGTTAAAACGATTGATTCTTTCATTTGCTCATAGAGTTTGGGCGTTATCATAAGATAACCGTCTTGGCATTAACGTATTTAGGGAACATTTGTAAGAGATCAAGATTCCATGACTCGATAAGCAATGATCTAAATTTTCGACTTGCATTCTGAAGATGTTTTTTAATTGTGGTGTCAGGGTCCGATGGGAAAAGATTGCCGCTAAATGCACTTTGCATTTACAAACAGCTTGAAGGGGAGATTTTTGTGGAAATTGCAAGAAGATTGACTCTTGTGAAGAAATGAGACTTGTCGTGACATGGTAAAATCTTATAAACAATTACATATCTCAAAAACGGATGACGTTAGCGCTGATCCGATTGCGGAATTTTACATCTCGTTTAAAGGCAGTTTAGAAAAGGCAATAAAAACAGTGTGCAAAACTTGTAAACTATCTCCAATTTTCGCAATAATGAAGATGGAATGGGTTCCTGATGTTCCAGAACCAAAAACTGCGAATTAACAATTTTTTAAACAATTCTAAAACGTGCGCTATTAGGCCCGAGGGGATCGTTTCTGAGGTGAATATTGCAAAATAACAAATTTGACAATAGATGCAAAATTATTACTCGATACCTAGTTGAAATGTTGCTAAAATGATAAATTTCGTATACCCTGATATTTGGACACTTCATTTCTTTGTCTGATTCGTAATATTCGTTCACATACGTAAGTTTCATTTGCATTAAATAGAGGTTGATATTCAATAGATGTTTCGCAAATAAATCTGTATTATGTGGAAAATGTAATTAACCTTTCTCAAATCCAATAATAATCCAATTATTGAGCGAAAAGTGCATATCGATATTTTCAACTGTTTATAAGGCATAGGATGGCCCATAGTTCGTGAAACTTTCTGAATTCATTATCATTTCACATAATCCTTACGAATTGTGCGATTAAGTCTGTGCTATTGCGTTGCACCATTATTTTCATATTCTTGTAGTCGATACTGCCTGTTTAACCTTGTGTTTTAGTTTTTTGATGTGGATGATTAAGTGTTCGTTGTACTTTCAACCTATCAAATTCCGCCCTAAATCCGTCACAGGATCACTCAATTCTGAGTTTGGCGAATCGCACCACAGCTTCTGCCACCATTGCCAGTTGGTTGGCTGTATTAAATGAATCATGGGCCGCAATATTCGTCCTGCCGATTAATTTGAACCGATCAGTTACAAGGAATGTCATTCGCAATAGTAGAACAGTAGTACACAGTAGAAATAAAATAAAGTAAGAGGAATGGACTGAAGAAAAGCAAAGTAATCTATTTTGTCATATAAATTCTAGAACAGTTTATTGTAACGTGCGGATTTAATATAGGAATCTAAATCTATAAGGAATCTACTTCTTTCAGTCTCTTAGGAAATACTATATTAAGTATTTTTTATGGGCTGCGTTGTGATTCTTTTGTACATAGTGCATTTGTTTGGAAACTCATAAGTGTTTTCTTTCTATATTTTTTTTACATTAATAATACTATTCTTTTTTTCTTGTGGAACACTAAAGGTATAAAAGAAGTGGTGATGAAGAACTATTTTGGAAGAGTATGGTAGTTCGGCCTTTGTGCTATAACACTATCTTACAATATCTATGTTTTAGGTATATTGATATTATGTTTTAGGATATGGGTAAATCAACAAGAGAAGAGTTATATAAAGTAAGACTAGAGGAACTAGAGAAAGACCTAGATAAAAAAGTAAGTATAATCGATCCAACAGAAACTATTTTACCTCTTTTTATTATTAATTTTCATAAAACATTGATTGAATTAAATCACAAAAACCTTAAAACAATGTAAATGTTTATATTTACATTTTATTCTTTGCATTTTTCTAAATGTAATGGAGATTGGCATATAATTTTTCTATTTATTATAAAAATATTTATTGAGAAAAACAATGATGTACAATAGAGTTCCTTCGAATGTGCAATTAAGTTTGTTTCTCTAGTTAACTCTTTTGTTAGTAACATGCATATTGAACTTTATTAGCCTCTCAGGCAGCAATGTTCAAAATTTTACTGCACATTCTATTCTTCAAAGCTCTTTGTATGATTGCATGAATGTGATTTTTATACATTTGCTTAAAATTTTAATATTCTTTTATGTGAATGTACATAATTAGTGGTAGAAATGCAAAAAAGTCCTTTGTGTAACATGCTAATTGTAATCTTCTTGTGTTTTTTTATTTTTTAGAACTGCAAAATAAACTCTTTAAAAAGAGAAGTCAAAATTTTAACTGATGAACTATCTAGACAGACTGAGAAGAATCAGATAATTTGTGAAGTAAGTGCAGCTTTTTATAGTTGATGCCTTCATCTTATTTTCACTTTTTGTTAACTTCTGAATTGCAGCTAAGAAAATACATTATATCTCTTGTAAATTTGTCTAATAAATAAAAATTGTGTGTGCTGCTATAATGTTATAATTTTGAACCTACTTTTCTATTCCTATTTTATTTCTAGGCCCGTGATGAAAATAAATTTAAAATCATGGAATTAGAAAAGGAAATAACTGTTTTAAAAAGAGAAAATGAAAATTTGCAATCTCAGTTAAAACAGGAGAAGGACATTAAGAAATACAGAGAGCTCTCACTTGAAGCAGAAGTTGCATTATATGCAGATCAAGTGAAGAAGTATGATCAAAAAATTAAGGTAATTTAGTTTTTTTATTTGCTCACTCCATGTGGAACCTGTCTACATCGAATTGTACATATCCATTTGAAGTACCTTTATTTCATACATTTTTGAGTGATAGAATTATTTAATGAATAAATATGTATTTAATGAAGGAACTTTCTTGAATGCACACATGAAAGTAGAGGTGGTGTTGTTGTGCATTTTTTTGTGTAATTATTAATGTTTGTATTAATACATTGTGGATGTAATAGGCATGTGAATCAAAGATTTCGGAACTGAAAACAAGTCCAAGTAAAGCTATTGCAGAAAAATCCTCTGACAATAATTCCAACAACCAGAATATTGAAGAATGCCATCAAATCTCTCAACTAGAAAGGGATATAAAATTACTTAGTCTTGAAAACAATGACTTAAAGTGCAAACTTGGAGAGGAGAGAGAAGAAAAAAAAAATGAAATGCAAAAATTAGAATGTCAATTTACAAGATGTATGGACAAGATTAAGGAATATGAGCTAAGAGAAAAGGTGAGTTTTAAAATTAATTTCTGCAACTTTTTATGAATGTAAAATATTGAGTGATAAAATTAAAAGTGGAGTGAGTTCAGAATAAATAAACCAACAAAGGAATGATTATTTTATACATAAATGAAGGATTAAAGAGGTATTTGTTTATATTAATTTGGTGAAGGTGGTAAAAGATTGTTTTTATTTATTTTCCTAGAAAACCCTTGCCAGTTCTTGCTTTGTTTCTGATGGTTTCATTTTTGCAGTGTTTTGTCTGTGTTAAGTTTAGGAAGATGAATATTATTTTCTAATAAGTATTCTGAACCTATTTTTAGGACTACGAATCCAAGATTTGCTATCTACAATCTAAGTTAAAGGATATTGAATATCAGTCAGAGGAGCGTCTCACTGAAATTAGGAAATTGCAGGAAGAACTGGACATTCAGAAAAATATTACTAGGAATTCAGAGGTAAATTTCGCACTTTTGATACTTATACTAATTTTAGATAAAATTTTAAATAAAAAAGAATTGTTTAAAAAAATGTTTAAAAAGAAGTATCTAGAAATGTATTACAAAGAAACAGTCAATCTACATCTCACAAACCTTTTATTCTAATTCAAAATGAACATTTTATGTAAACTAACCTTATGGTTATCTGATAATACGCCATGCCCTAAGTTAATACTGCAGCCTTTTTGACATCCTAGAGTCATTTGACTCTAGTCTCCACTTCCTAACACAGCAGTAGTACATCACTACATTGCAGCCTGTGGCTCCTGTGGTGGCATAAGAAGCCATTTACAGGTAGGAAGGTATGGTGACAGACAGATTGCTCCTATGTTGTGGCCTTTCAGCCCATTGCGAGCTTCTTTCCCCCTGGTATGTAGTCAGACACATTCATGACATTCAGGCAGGGAGAGGTCTGGAAAGTATTTGAGCAATATATATAGATACATTTTTCTACTTCTCTCTTTCTCAATTTCAGCAGAATGTTGCGACAAATTGGAATGAAGTAAATCAAATATTAGAAACAAATAGATTCAATTGAATTTACTTGAAAATGTTACTTTAAAGGTTGTTTTCAGATTGTTTATATCTTTTTCAGGAAGTGAATAAAACCATTGCTAATGTTCAGAGAGAGCTTGAAAGTTTGAGGCAAATTCAGGCAGGTGAGGACCTTGACATGAAGTGTATTATTATGTATGTCGTTGGGATTCATTCACAAGTTGAATTATATTTGTATTAGTGGTAATAGTGGTGTTAAGTATTTAATTTTATATATTGCAATTTTTTATAGAAACTTCTGAGAAAAAAGTCATGCCAGCAATGAGATCTGTTACGAGAAGTGTCTCGAAAATAGAACAGTGTAAACATACACTGATAACTTATGCTGAGCAACATAGGAACTTGCAGATGTGAGTAGGCTTTTTGTTTTGAACATGGACATTTGTGGATTCAGCACTTGTATATGAATGTTCTAATATCAATTCATTGATATATCCCATTCCATTATAATGTTTGTACTGAATATTTTCTTAATAAGTTATATTAAGAGTAATTATATAAGTAAATATAATGAGTATTGTGTCATATTTAAAAAAATTTTTTGTTGTTTTCCCTTAGCTAGTGACATGGATATTAAAATGCTTCCCATGGTTGTAAACTTTATTCTGTTGGCAAAAACTATATTTGTACCTTTTCTAGATGTGAATATTTGCTTCAGCTGTAGGTATTGCAAATGGGGCTTCTGACAAGTTCCAGCATTTTTTTTTTTTTTTTGTAGAGGACATTTTGCACTGTTGTCTTCATAGTAGTCTCTTTTTTTAAGAATGCTCCATTTTCGTTTACAATTTATTTTTAACTCTCAAAAGTAGAAATGGGCGAGGATGGGGTCAGGTACAGGAGAGGGCTCACCAACTTCTCCTGCGACTTCCTGAAAAAGAACATTGTTTTCAAATTCTTTGGGTGAGGACATTGTTGTGGAAAAACAAAAATGTTCATAAATGAATCTGGTGAACGGTCTTCCACTTTCCTGGGGAACCCTTTCACAAATAGATCATTGTATGGAAATATCCTTCGAGTTATGAGACTTAAGTGTAGTATAGTGACCCCAATTTTCCAGCATCTTTGATTTAGAATCATATTGATATATCTAGTTTTTATGATGTGATTGTGTCATGAAGGTTAGGATATCATTTTTATCAAAACAACACACTTTTTCTTGCACCACTTTTCCTGATTTTTAGATTTCCTCATTCTTGTGCATGTTATAATATTGTGTTATTTTTTCTACTCATTTAGGAAGTTTGAGGGTGAACTGAATGATCAGTTGCAAGAAGTCGAAAATATTTTGAGGTTTGATAATGAAGAAAATATACCAAACATAAGTTCAACAAAAGGTGCTCTTCCTAAAGCGGGAAAATCTGAGGTAAATTTTATATGTATATTTTGATGAAATGTTGAATTGAAACTACAATACTTTGAATCCTTATTAAGAAGTTTGTTATCCTTTTCTTTTGGCTTGGTATTTGACAGTTTCATTGCTAGAAAGGCACCAAGAGTTGACATCTTGGGGGAATTTTTTTTTTATTCCATTTGATTTATTTCTATTTTGCTTGTTTATCATTAAAATGTTTCAAATAATATTCTGGTGCCAGTTTGTGTATGCTTTGGTTTTGAATTTTCTTTAAATGTATGAATTTTTAAATGGTTTTATATTTTTATTACACAATTGTTAAATTACACTAACAATACAGATGTAGAATGTTAATATTTAAAAAAAGTGTCTATTCCTGACCAGCATAGGTCCAAAGTCTTGAGAATATAGTGTAAAAATATTATTTTACAACAAGATGCAATAAAATATTAAAAATTTCTTATCTTTGATATGATATTGGGCACCTTCTCTTTATTTTCAATTATACAGATTCTATCATTATTTTTAATAAATTTACAAACACTGTAGAAATTGTTCTTCAGATAACAGTAGGAAGTATTATTGAAAATATTATTCAACATAAAACAGAGAACAGTGCATCTACTTTTGATACACACTAGTTAATATTGAAAACTAGTTTGAAGAGCCAAGTGTAGATAAATATTCTGATTTGGGAGTACATCACCAGTGCAGGAGTTTGAATGCTTACCCCCTTCTCCCTTTTATGTTAAAAATAAATGTTTCTAATTAATGTTGTATCTATCTAAAAATGTACCTCCAGATGTACTACATGAAAAACAAAGTACAGGCTGTTTATTATATTTTACAACTTGAGATCATAGTTCTAAATATTTATGTAATTTTAGTATCATTTAAAATAATATTTTAAGATCATTTATCATAGATAATATAATTTTAATTAAAAAAAGTTCTGGGGAATTTTTTGTAACAAGCCATCCCACTCTCACTGGAGCAGTAATGCAATATGAATGTTAAACTGTATTTCCAATTTTAAATATTCCATTGCAAGTTATTTTTCCTAAGTATTGTCAGACAGATTGATGACAAAATGAATGACTTACTTTGCATTGAAAAGTACTTTATTTCTTTCAAAATATGTAAGTAATATTACTTAGCAAAATGTTTTGTCATCCTCTTTTAAGTTTATTTATTCTAACAAGAAAAGATGTGGACATGCTTGTCAACATAATCATTTTACTTCAGATATCAGCTTTTGTGATGATTCTATGCATTTTTTCAAGAAAGGCAGAAAAAAAGAGAAAAATGTATTTTGGCAAAATCATTAGAGGGGGTTCAGCAAAAACAGCAA